GTTCAGTCTCGCGTGTGGTTAATAGAATTTTTCTGTAACTCATTCCGAACTTTACCCGGTCAATTTCAAGTATGATTATCAGTTTTTCTTTATTTCGTTATTATGTAATTTCTAACTTTTTTCTACGTAAGTGCGTTCTAAGAGCTTTCTGCGTCGGCTTATTATTTTTTTCTGTTCCTCCTTCTTCTACATAACCCCACACACTATTACTAACACTGTCCCAGGACACAAGGCCCCTTGCAGCTGAACGCCAACTTACCAAAAGCTTAAGTCACATTCCATTCTACTGAAAATTCCAGAAATTAATCAGCAAAGAATGGTGAAACAAGGGTGAACATTTGCTTATTTAATGCTTATCGGATCGTAAGGCCTATCTACATATTTAGTCACGCATAGTGCTCTAAATGTGGAAAAATTGTAAACATCAAATCAGCATGTAGAACCATTGTACTTCTTTCCACTAGTGATCATACAACATACTTCCTAGATTCAGAAGCGATCATCTACTTTACATGTTTCATGTCTTGATATCATTGGTTATACATAAAGTAGGGAAGCCATCGTTTATTTACAAAACTTATGGTCTATATATTCTAACGTTACCGTACGACCTTTAAGGATGTTGTGCATTGTTAAGTAGAGAAGGCATTCCTCCACACGTGTCTTGAGAGATTTTTGATTGGGAGAAGAATGCTCATTCTAAGTTTTAAAAAATTAAAAAGGCTTAGTTCCCAAAGACGTTCTAGATGCAGCTCATACAGGTTAGATAGCTACGGATGAAAACTTCAGGCACTGTATGGTCAAGCACTTCCTAAAGTACGATCATTTCTTCATACAATTCAAGAACCACTGCAAAAGACATTGGAATATATGTATGAGAAAAAAATGATTGAACAAGTTCTTTCCTCTGCTTGAGATACTTCTATTGTTACGTCCTTATGATCTGATGATGATCAGAAATTAATATTGAACTCCTGTTTGTTGAAGCGAAAATCAAAGTTGAAGATATTCTCAATAGAAATAATGTTCCCAAATTATCCCTGAAGATTGAATTCAAAGACGTTTATCTTGGAATCTTTTAGACCAATCTTTATCCATCCTGACTACCAATTACATCATTTCCCTAGTATTCTGATACAACATATGTTGTTCAGCATTTAACTTATTTGAGTGAAAAATAATATTGTTGGAGATCTAAAAGGTTTTGGAATTTTTCAAAACGATCCTGGCCTTTATTTTCCTGACTAGGCAGCTCACAATAATATACCTGATGCTCCATTGCCTCATTTAAGTGAGAAATCTATAGCCGTTAATGGAAATCTGTGTATATTTTGCGTGTTTAATTTATAATTTCTTAGAAACACAGTTGATAAAACGGTCTTATTCCATATATGAGGCGACTAGATGCACTGACAAATGTATCATCTTCAAAAAATCTTACACAACTACGTTAACTAATGAGTGCTTTTCAATATTACCCCTGTTTAATTTCTCATTTGTTTCCTCATGCTCATTATCTATTTCAAATTAATATCCTACTCATTTAAAAGGGTTTTGGGACAGTGGTCATGTTCACAAAACCTATTCAATTTTTGCTTAAATAGAAAATTTGGTCAGGGCAGTAAAACTTCCGTCAATCCCATTACTGCTTCGACGATTGATGAATTAGGGAAGGGAGTAGATACATGAAGATACTGAAGGTTCAATTTCGAAAGAGACTGCACTAAAATAATTAAACAGAAGAAATCTCTTTTCTAATGTCAGGTATCTAGAAACTTCAGAAGTTAGATACCATCGCAAGAATCACCTTTGAAGTCCTATATGCATTGCAATGAGTAATATTTGAATATCCGTGGTTTGAGCCAGCAAACGACTTGTTATCCAAATGCGATTTTTACGGTAAGATTAATCCGTTTCAATTTATGCTACCAATTTTAATAATAACGAGTACATACAAATTCTGTATCAAATACACAGCTAGTAAGATACTTGGTGCACCTACATAAACGTATATGAAATAATCCGAAAATCTGGACTCAAGTTTAGACTCCGACAGTTGTCAATGATTTGATTTCTAACTATATTACCTAAGGCTGTACTTAGTTTTCAGTTGAAAATATCAGCACTTAAGTCAGAGCTTGTAGTGAAAAATGAACAATACCTTTGGGAAAATGAATTAAGTCCTTGTGATTATGATAAGTTTCATGATACATATCACAACATAGTATGAATAAACGTGTTCAGTGGATTGCTTTATGTTCGTCTTCGAACTCACCAGTTAGGTGGCTATGTTGAACTCGATGTAGGACTCAATAAATTAGTGGCTCATGAGCTGACTTCTTGATCTGTGACGTCTGAGCATGCTGTGAAGTAAATCTACCTATCACTTTCCACAAATCATATATAGACTAAACCCGTTCGTTCGCTAAATACGCATTCAGTTGAATGAATTGATTTCAAGTAATCCTTCATGCAGACAGACATTGGAATACATAGCTTGAAAGCAAAGAGATGAGAAGTTTGGAAGGCAAGCGAGCCAACTTCATGCGATAAAGTATGACTCAGTATTTACAGTCAGATAAAAATAAGCTAAACATGTCATGAACGAAGTAAGCGGTGCACACAGATACTCCAACAGAAACAACGGAGATTAGTGACTAGTCGTCATGGTCAACAGATGAGTGAATATATTTACTAGGGAATAATGGATTAGTTTTTTTTTTTCCGAAGACTTGAGACAAGCTTTCTGTGATAGATATAAACGTACTCGCTTTACCCGTATTTAGTTCAACTGAAACCTCAGTAACCACCAGCAAAATGAAATAGTGCTCATCAATGCCTACTAACACAACAGGAGCTGCTCATGTCTCTACTACGAAACACAACCTTCATTATTGTTTTCCAGACTTAGAATAAGTCGAAGCACTCAATTATCACAGGGAACGATCAAAATAAATGCCGAAGAAACTTGGCCTGTCCAACGTAGACGCCAAAAGACTCATGCCAGTAGGCGGACAGACACCAAAAAACGTCTTAATATTGCTTACGTTAGGTACATTTCGGTTCTTCAGATTTAACGACAGAAAAGTCAGGTTCTTGTACAACAAATATCATAAGTCATCAAAGAAATAGGGACAGAGACTCATATAAAATATAGTTGAAGACATTCGCACACTGATTGTACTGAGAAGTTCCTTCAGGTCACTAATCTAGATAATCTCAGCCAGTTTTTGTCAATCTATTTGAACTGAGTCTAACTGTCGCTTCCTCGATTACGCCAGTCAAGATCCATGGCTAATTTTTAATCGTGACCGTGCTATATGAAAGCCAGGTGACTTACTAGAAAAATACTCTCAATAGGCAACAGAATATTTTATCATTAATTACTATCAGTAATACCAGGCGAAACCCCTGCCGCAAATACTTATCCATAGCATGCAACTGGATGATGTGCGTAGACTGCCTCTGATGTTGATGAATGTCGGAAACATGGTTTGGATAAGACTCAGCTACACTTCACTGGTTCTACACACCTTTCACAAGTTTCAACGAAATATGATCAAGATGTGAGACTAAGAGTCTAAAACTAGTGGTTCCTGATAAAACTAACCAGCTGGAAAGTGTTGTCGAGTATCTACAAAGTTATTTTATCCAGAGAGCTAACCATAACACAAAATATTCGCATTCCAACTGTGAAATAATCACTGAGTAATTTTAAAACCGTAATTAAAACACTTCTAGTCCTTCTATATTGTAATCAAATAATGCTAGTTATAGGGTTGCAGAGGTTTTTAAGTTACTTTAGAATCATGAATCGATCAATGTTAGACCGTCACTGAAAACCCAGAAGCAACGAAAGGCCGTTTCGTCCAGTTTTGAGACCCATCAGTATTGCGCATCAAAGATTAATGCGTTATTCTTTCAGATTACATGAAAAACGGAAAGGACACCAGGATCTCTCGTATCTTCAGATTATGATCTATCTTGATATAGTTAACGGTCCCACTTTAATCTGAAAAGGAGTAATAAGCATTAGCGTTTGATGCTATCACCCCAAAATTATTCTTAGCGTTGTTTACGAGATATGAGCGCCCATACTTTGAGGTTAACAAAGTCGTCGCATCCTATCTCGAAAAAAGAGACATAAACCCTCCTAACCAAGTGCAGAGACGATCCACGAAGTGGTTGACAGGGCTGAAGAACAAACCGTACGAAGATAGGCTCAGCACTTTTACTCTGTGTAATAGGAGAATCAGAGGTTATCTGATAATGTCGTACAACATATTGGGCATGCCAAATCGTCCCAAAGTAAGCAACCTGCCGAAGAATCACCACAATGCCTTTCCAAATAATCCTCGAAAAAATGAACATCAAACAGCTGAGCATAGCCCCTAGTGAATAGATTCAAAAATACACTTGATAAACATGCATTCACATGGATTATCATCTCCACCATGCACCTGCTGTGCCTGATTAATGTCTTCAGAGTTGCTAGTTGTTATTATTGCCATTTCACAAGATCACTAATTAAATCCATTTCACCTAAAACCTCTGATTCCATCGCAAGCACTTCAGCACAACCGCACAATCTTCACTTCCAAATATAGAATTTAATTAATTAATTTAATTAATTTATTTACTTAGTTCTGAAATCTTCTTCATATTATTTCCAGACCTTTTTCCATATAATTCTCCACACTGCAATTAACTGATCTCTGGCTTGATGGCACGATTGCTGCTAGTATCCAGAAACTCCACTACTCTGTAACAAATGTACTCATTCAAACCACGGAACATACAAACTCACATACAACTGTCAACTGACTACAATCAATGTACTTGAGTGGATAGACCCATATTTATTTAAAACAACTAAATACCTGGAACCGCACTGAATAAACAAGGATTGAGTGCAAAGAAATCAGTTATTTTGTACTAGCTTATGAAAAAGATATTGGATACTGTGTATAGCCGCGATAGTTAAACTGTGAAGGTCGCTAATGAACTTGATAATTAGGAGGATTTTACCGGCATGTCGTTATTTTCTCCGCTCACAACATACTGAAGGCTAGTTTATTATCAGCCAAACAAATTCTTAAATTTTAGCAGGTTTTACAGCATCCGAAAATTCTATCCATGTCGAAAATTACCCTGGACACATCAAGACCAGTTCCTTACAAAAGTGTCTTCTGAGTCTTGGGAGTGGGATTGGGTGTTTAATGGACCCAAGAAGGGCTGGTAACTGACATTTGTGTTTTATATACTGCAGATCTGCTCAGTACATTCGGAGAGACCAGTGGAGAATTCGCCCTCCGTAGAATATTCTATCAAATGCTGGAACATCCTGATGGTTGTCGTATATTACGGTATACCTTGCTGCTTCGTTGATTTTTAGTGACCGGCCAACTATTCGTACTAACACGGTTGACTTGGCTGGCCTCCGTAAGCTACCTAATGGTACATTTGGAAAAGCTTATACTAATTTCCTGGATAAATATGTAAGTTCCATATTTTGATTGATCAACCAACCCTCTAGGGTTATTCACCTGATGAAAGACACTATGTCAAGTTTGTAGATGACCCAGATTTGGCTTACGTTATGCTTCGGTATCGGGAAATACATGATTTGGTTCATACTTTGCTTGGTCAACCAACTGATATGCTTGGTGAGGTCGTTGTTAAATGGGTTGAAGGCATACAAACTCTTCTTCCTATGTGTTTGACTGCTGGTTATTTTGGTTCTCTGCGTCTTGCACCCAAGTTAGTATGAATTATCAATAATATATGCGAAAGGATTTTGCTGCTATTATTTATATCATATAGAGATATTCTCTCAAATTAAATATACATACATTTTGTTGTTTCTTCCAGACAAACGGAATTATTTCTAAATGGACATTTACAATATGCAATTCGTACAGGCAGAGAAGCACATTTTCTAATGTGTGTTTATTTTGAAGAACATTGGGAAGATAATTTTCAAGAATTTCGGTCATCTTTAAATATTCAATCACCACCTTCCAGAAAACTGAATTAGTATGTATTCAGTAGTGACATTGTAAATAGTATATTTTACCTAGTTTTTGCATTATGTGATGGTATATTTTTTTACAAATTACTTGGACTTTTAATTTGATTTGTAGTATTTATCTTCAGTTAGCTTGCTGGGTGTTTGTTTTATCACAGTATAACATTGTGGCAGCCAATATTTATGATTCACTTTGTTTCGTGGTCGTTGGCGGTTAAGAAGGCTTTAACACAGTATAGACTGGCTTTGGTTTTGCTACAACTGTATAGACATCTCCCCAAACTCCTGACATAGTTTTCCCGACCGTAGCTGCTACCTTGACGTGGTGGTCGGGCTTGCCTATCGTGATGACCCAACCGAGCTATACTGGCTGGAACATATGTTCCTCAAGGTTCTACCATGCCAGGCAGGTCGATTGGAGAACGATGAGACTAAAAGCAGCTACCCAAGGTCTGAGGGCGAAGTCGTACTGCTGACTGCAGAGGGGTGTGACAGCAGTAAGGTGTTTCCCTCGGACAACCAGCATCTGCAGCGATGCTGCCTTCTCACAAGGAAGGAAGGGTTAGAAAAGGTCGACCCTAAAAATGTCACACCTCCCCTAACTCACGGATTTCCGTCTCCTTGGGTAAGGGTGCCCACTAAGGGCCTTTAAGAACGGAGCTAATCCTCAAAAAACATTTGATAAAAAGGCCATGCGTGACTGGCCTCAAGCAGTTGTCCCTTGGGCTCTGCGGTCACGCACCAACACTAATCTATCTTCCTTTTCATGTTCCTCAAGAAACAACCTTCCACGGTGTGGGCAGCCGGGAAGTGACAACCGCCCTCATACCCATAACAGCACCAGAGACCGAATTGGTCAAAATCAAATCCTTCCTACACCCCCTAGTACCTCTCTTATCTCCACGACTAACTCTTCTCACATTCATTCATCACAGTGTACAGCTAATGCAGACGATACGAGTTCGCGAAACGTCGTTCCTGGCCTCCTTAAACCTCGCTCTAGACTACATGTTGGAGCATTTAATGTACGGACATTGTGTCAAATAGGGCAACAGGCTTCCTTAGCTAGGACTTTAGAATCTCGTGCCATCGACGTATGCTGCGTCTCGGAAACGCGCATACAGGATCCGAGTCACGTCATACACTTGACCACACCATGTCAAAATAAAGAAGCAGCTCGATTTACTCTTCGTGTATCCAGTAGCCCTGATGCTGCTTCCCGGGGTCTTGCTGGCGTAGGCATAGCATTGAGTCGTAGGGCAGAATTATCTCTCCTTGACTGGATCCCTGTAGATAGTCGATTGTGCGCTGTCCGACTAAACGGGACAGTAAGGACTCGGAAAGATAGGGACAATCGCCGTTGCCTCTTCGTCGTATCTGCCTATGCCCCCACTGAATGCAGTTCAGACGAGGTTAAGGATGAGTTTTACAGAAAGCTTTCGGACCTCCTCCAAAAAGCTAGGCGCTCTGATATAGTAATAATGGCTGGTGACTTTAATGCTCAAGTAGGTAGACTAAGTGAGCAGGAGAGACACCTAGGTGGATGTTATGGTGTCCCGGCTCAGAGAACAGACAATGGTGACCGTCTGTTGCAAATATGCTCAGACAACCGCCTATTCTTAGCAAACACTAACTTTAGGCATAAGGAAAAGCATCTGTTGACCTGGCGACCTCCAAAGTCGTCTCAACGTTGGACTCAACTAGATCACATTGCCATCAGCCACCGATGGAGGGGTTCGATAGAGGACTGTCGCTCGTTCTGGAGCACATGTCTAGATTCAGATCATGCCCTAGTGCGAGCGCGTATTTGTTTGAAGCTTACTGGGCGTAGGAAAGACACCGTAAGAAAGCCTCTTAGGGTTTTACTTAATGATAATAAGGCGAAAAATATATTTCAGGAACAACTAGAAAGACAGTTAGGCGACCAATTAAGCGATTCCCATCCGGAAGCAGGATGGAATGATATCAAAAAGGCTGTGGAAACAGCAGTGATATCTGCTAGCAAGGTTGACCATAAGGCTAGAATGAAGCCGTGGATCTCAGTAGCATCTACCGATCTGATGGATGCCCGAAAACTCATCCCACCTGGCTCTGAACATGATGAAGAACGAAGTCAACTTAGGCGCAGACTTATAAAAAGCCTACGTAACGATCGCGAACAGTGGTGGGTGGCGAAAGCAAAAGCGATGGAAAAGGCAGCGGCGATAGGCAACACTAGACAACTTTTCCGACTTATCAAGGAAACTGGTATTAGGAATCCTAGTGTAAGCGAGACTATCTCAGAAAATGACGGGACTATTATTTATTCTCAATCCAGGAGACTGGATCGATGGGCAGAACACTTTAGGGATCAGTTCAACTGGCCTCGAGCCACTCTTCGGTTACCCACGATCTCCCGTCATCCTGAATGGCAAATCGACGTAAGTCCCCCTAGTCTTAATGAAGTTGAAAAAGCTTTAGGAAATCTGAAGCGAGGACGAGCTGCAGGTCCTGATAGGCTTACCCCTGAGATATTTAAAGATGGTGGTCCAGTTTTAGCAGCTAGGTTGACTGAGATCTTAGGTAGAATCTGGGAACTGGACGTAATCCCATCCGACTGGTCTCAATCACTGATTGTCCCAATCTATAAGAAAGGACAGAAGTCTTCTTGTGACAATCACAGGGGAATAAGTCTAACTAATATAGTATCTAAAATATTGGCCTCAATAATACTTCGACGCTTAACTAGAGCTCGTGAAGAGCAGACTCGAGAAAACCAGTCTGGTTTTCGACCTGGACGTGGCTGTATAGACCACATTTTCACATTACGACAGGTCTTGGAACACAGACACACATTTAGGCGTCCTACAATAGTTGTTTTCCTGGACCTTAAGGCGGCATTTGACTCAGTAGATCGTGAGGTTCTGTGGCAGTGTCTGTCATTGAAAGGTGTAGCAAATAAGTACATTAACCTCATACAAGCTCTCTACTCAAACACCACTGGCCGAGTGAGAGCTTATGGCGAACTGTCACCGGAATTCTCTACATCAAGTGGTGTCCGTCAGGGATGTCCACTTTCTCCATTCTTGTTTAATTTTATCATAGACATGCTCCTAGACATAACATTATCCTCGTCTGAATTTTCAGGAGTAGACGTTTTACCAGGTGGCTCGCTTATTGACTTAGAATATGCCGATGACATAGTCCTACTTGGTGAAGACGCTGACAAAATGCAGAGTCTTCTGACTACCCTAAGCAACAATGCAAGCATGTTCGGGATGCGGTTTTCCCCCTCGAAATGCAAAATGTTGCTTCAAGATTGGGTTGCAACGGCACCTGAACTAGTGATAGGGAGTGAAGTAGTCGAACGTGTAGACCGCTTCACTTATCTCGGGAGTCTCATCAGTGCCGATGGCCTGGTGACTGACGAAATCTCAGCTCGGATAAAGAAGGCTCGATTGGCTTTTGCCAACCTGCGTCACTTATGGCGTAGGCGAGATATCCGTCTGCTGACTAAAGGACGAGTGTACTGCGCAGTGGTTCGCTCCGTCTTACTTTATGGCTGTGAAACATGGCCAATGAGAGTAGAAGATACTCGTCGGTTATTGGTTTTCGATCATAGATGTCTTCGAAGCATTGCTCGTATATCGTGGGACAACCGAGTGAGCAACGCTGTTATTAGGAATCGGGTGCTAGGTAAGAATGGCAGACCAATCGATGAAGTTGTGAAACTTCATCAGTTGAGGTGGTTGGGACACGTGTTGCGTATGCCTAACCAGCGACTCCCTCGTCGAGCTTTGTTTTGTAGTGTAGGAATAGGTTGGAAGAAAGCTAGGGGCGGCCAGACCAAAACATGGCAGAAATCCATGAAGTCATTGACTAGTGGACTTAGCCATGTCGGTAATTGTCGACTACCTGGTTGGGGTCCGCGAGATGATAATAATCGATGGCTAGAGACCTTGAAGGACATGGCTCAAAATCGTTCGCAATGGCGCCAGTGCATTTATTCTTTGTGTTCTCTCAAATCCTAATCTTCTGGATTCTTCAACACCTCTAGTTTTTACTTTGTAAACTTATCTCATTTAATCATACTTCATGAATAATATCTTCTAATCCTAACCTCTCCGATTACTTCTAATACCTTTACTACCTCTTCTACTATTGGATTTGAATTGACAATTATATCTCTGTGCTGATGTGGTATGGCGACATGAACTGATGTACTTACGTACGAAGTTCTACGTTGCATCTAACTGACTGACTGACCTGACATAGTTTTAAGGTAACGTCATATCTAGTCATAAAAGCGGATTAGGAATGATGTACTAGATAAGGATAGTAAATAAAATAATGTAGTTATGTATCTTCATTTAAGGTGGTTGAGACATGTGTTACTCATAACCAATCAGTGACTCAATCAATCAACAACACCGTAGGACTTCGTACGTACGTACATCAGTTCAAGTTTCCATACATGTTTAGATTCAGATCATGCCCTAGTGCGAGCACGTATTTGTTTGAGGCTTGCTGGACGTAGGAAAGACACCGTAAGGAAGCCTCTTAGGGCTTTACTTGATGATAATCAAGCTAAGAAAATATTTCAGGAGGAACTAGAAAAACAGTTAGGCGGCCATGCAAGTGATTCCCATCCTGAAGCAGGTTGGAATCATATCAAGAAGGCTGTGGAAACAGCAATGGTATCTGCTAGCAAGGTAAACCACAATGCTAGGATGAAGCAGTGGATTTCAGTCGCATCCACCGAACTGATGGATGCTCGAAAACGCATCCCACCTGACTCTGAACATGATGAAGAGCGTAGTCAGCTTAGGTGCAAACTTATAAAAAGCCTACGTAACGACCGTGAACAGTGGTGGGTGGCGAAAGCAAAAGCGATGGAAAAGGCAGCGGCGATCGGCAACACTAGACAACTTTTCCGCCTTATCAAAGAAACCGGATAAAAGGAACCCGAATGTAAGTGAGACTATCTCGGAAAAGGATGGTCTTATTATCCATTCTCAATCCAGGAGGCT